TGACCCGCTATTTCCGGGGTGCCTTGATAGTCGAAGCAGACCTTGTGCTGTTGAAACTAGAGAGGAGAGCAGTCTGAGTCTGGTTCCTTGTAAGGACTTCTCTGTTGACACCCACCCCTTGGCGCTAATATGACCTTATGCACTTGCGAGAGCTGTAAAACCCTCTACTATATAATAATCTAATCTCAGGCACTTACATGACCTTATTGTGTTGCAAGTGCAGTAAAAAGCTTACTAAAACTAAAGATTCTCATCTTGTTCCTGCTGGTGTCTGTGGTGTAGTGGTGTGGCTCTTTGCCGTCACGTGGGAAAAACACAAGTTCAGACCCCATGTGGGTACGTTGTGTTACTGGGTATCTCCGTCTGTCTGTCTGTCTGCTGGTATACTGTACACTAAGATACTGTACCCCGCTCAGCTCTGGTATCCTCCACAGACAGTTTGAGACAGTGTCCGTATTGGAGCGGTAGTGGATTTCACCACAGCAGGCAGAAGATACGGGTGGTTGGAGGGCGACATTTTCTTTTTCCCAGCACTAAATGACCATTATTGTGTCGATGTGCCGCTCTTTACTCAAACAAATAAGCAAAGGCAGAAGATGTGAGTTCGATTCTCTAGTTAGGAGCTTTCTTTTTCGGTTTTCTTTATTCTTTCTTTTGGGTTTTTTTTTGTTGTTTTTTTTGGTTGACTTTTTTTGTTGTTGCGTTTGTTGTTTTTTTTGTTTTTTGTTTTTTTGTTTTTTGTTTATTGGGTTGGTTTTTTTTTTAAATCTCGCACCTCGGACTGTCTGACAGGGTCAATACAACCTGCCTCCTTAAGTGTATAAATTGTGTCGGTGAGGGCATAAAACATCTAAAGTATCAATTATGTCGGCAGATTGGAAAAGTAACCCGCCTCCTAAATTATACCGGCATCGATTTGGGCGTCAGAACACTAAGGGACGTAGCTCGTAAAGACAAACGGCACAAAAAGAATTAACTGAGTTATGTCCCGTTGACGGTCACTAACACACACTTCGTTCGAAACGTCAGTTTGGGGGGCTGTTTGTTGGGGGG